CCAGCCACAGGCGCTTTCACACTTGAAACACATTCCCATTATTACAAGTTGGTTCAAGCAGGATTAATTTTTGCAGGCGGGGGAGGCGGCAGAATGAACAATTGAAGGACAGCCAAAATGGAAATTAAAAAGTGAAAGTGCTTTAAAAATGGGGAAATGACCCCAAGGAGGGTGGGAGTGTATCAGTGGGAGTGTGATTGCTCCTGCCGTGTCCCGCCAGGGTGATTCTGGGGGGGGGTGTGTGTATGGGGTCTCTCACCTGCGCAGGTGGCGGACGATGTAGCGCAGGGTGGCCACATTGGAGGGAGGCAGCTCCTTCAGCAGCTCCCGCAGTTTGTCCACGCAGAGCAGCAGGTCCTTGTCTGTGTCGGGCCCCAGGTCCGCCAGCTCCGCCGCCTTCCCGGGGGGCTCCGCCCCCTCGGCGCCGCCCTGCAGGCTCTCCTTGGCAAGCCCCATCAGGTCGTTGTACATTCGAAAGGGCATGATGGGCTCCGGCAGCTGTGGGGTAGGAAGAAGGCTCGATTTCTGCGCTTGCACCTTTGGAAACCAACCTGGCAATGTGGAGTAAGTGCAAGCCAATAGCAGATCACGTGGCCTCTTTGACACTAGGCCTGAAGACCTGGGGTCTTCTGGTTGTGATTTTGGATCAATCCAAACACACTCATCGACTCATTACTATCAACATTAATGCCTGTTCCAGGTATTTGGTGACCATCAGGGCAAGCGTTCTGAAGGACCACAGCTCTCCAGGTACAGTATTGGCCATCCCCGGTCCACGCAGCTGTGCCGTTAGCTCCGGGAGTCCGAGAACACAGGCTGCAGGCACAGCTCCCACACAGCCGAGCAGGGGCACGGGGTAGGGATGGGGCCGGGGTCGCACCTGTCTCAGGTAGAGCTTGAGCACGTTGCTGATGTCATGGGGCGAGGCCTGGGACAGCTCCACCAGCTCCTTGCCATTCTCGAAGGCCTGGCACAGCTTCTCGACCCGCGTCTTCACCCCATTCACCCGGTAGATGCCCTAAAGATGACAGAGAACCCCCCCCCCTCCGTCACTCCCTTTTCACAGGTCCTTCCCACCTGAGAGACAATGGCACCCGTGTTCATTTCATCATTAGCTCATGCTAATCCTCCATGATGCTGACGACGAAGACTACATGGTTTTGCATGACTGTTTTAGTAAATGCATGACCACAAGGGACTGGGTCTCCTTGGGCGGTTAAAAGATAAGCTTCCCACACACTGCCTGCTTATTTCGGGAGTTTTAACGTCACGATGATTCCACTGCAAACGCAGCAGACCTCACTGAATTTCGTCGGCGTGGATTCCTTCCAGAATCAAGCGAGGACAAACAGCTGAGGTGGGACCCCCTTGCCCGGCTCCAGGTCGTTCGTCCCTCCCCAGCTCTGACCCGAGTCCAGGATCCCCCCCCCCACCGACCCTGCCCCCTCACCTTCATTTTCAAGGCCCGCTTCTCGATTTCCGAGATGCACTTCTTGATGATGAAGGGGATGCCCTCGGGGCTCCCTTGGGACACCTGGGCAAAGTCCCTCCCGAAAAGCTGGAGCCGGCCCTGCAGCTTCTTGTGTCCACACTGGATGGCCAGCGACTCCAGGCACTTCTTGTGGCAGGCCAGGAAGCACTGCAGGGGATCGGGAAAGGCAAGCACGTGAGGTGTGGCCTCGTGCACGCTCAGTGCGTCACGACAGCAGGAATCTGTGCTTCGGATTCCTTCATCAAGGTGAACACAAGCTCCTGTGCTGTTGTATCAACGCCACGCCAAGCCAAAAAAGCACAAATCGTTCCTCTGATCTCCCCCCACCCCCAAACCACCTGTCGCTATATTTCCGTTCCAATGACGAGCGGTCTCTCCCGGCCAGCAGCGTCTCACCTCCTCGCACTCCGCCCCCTGGAAGTACACGTAGCTGTCACACTCCCGGCACTTGGAAGGGGCGCGCAGTTTCCGCAGGCGATGCGTCTGGGCAGCCTTGGAGAGGCCCACGTTCCTGAAGGGGCCCGTGGAAACCGCGATCTCCGGCTCGATCCCGTTCATACCTGGCACACAGCAGACGGACACTGGTCTTAGCTGTAAGGTGGTTACTGGAACTGGGGATTGTGCTTCAGTTTCATGCAACAGCACAACAATTGTATTTCGCTGCCTGAGGTCGGACAGTGTTCTAACCAAGAGAAAATAAGCACACCCTTTTAACTCAATCAGCAGACCGATCTTTCTGGAATGTCCCCTCCAGATTACTAGTATTGGATGTGTAGCTAAGCGATTAGATCAATGCTCAGTTGTCAATACAGTAGCTATATAAATGAAAGCTCCATGGACAATATCTTGGTGGCTCCAACAGGCAGCATCTTGCCGACTTGAACTGTGCTGCTTCTAAGGAACTTGTGTTCTATCCCCCAGTGTTACACGACCGCATAGCAGTAACAGCAGCAGACGTACTCTGCTCGAAAGAGGGCACGCTCTCTTCCTTCTCATCCAGCTCCTCGTTGGAAGACATGGTGCCAGTGGAGGAGGTTCTGGGCAGCTTCCGGATGTCACCTGAAACACACACACGTGGCATCACTGGAGCGCCACACGCAGGACACTCACACCAGAGTCCCCGCCGCCAGGGACAAGCTGTGGCCAGACAGCCCACTGCATTGCAAGTCACTGACCGGGACACCGCCAATCAGGCCCACAGTTTCCTATTGAAAAGCCCCTTTGCTGATCAGATCATTTTTAAAGGCGTTGAAGAACTGTGCTGGCTAAACTATTTATTTTTGAGGCACATCAGTGAATGCATTGAAAATTCTATCAAATGTCCAAAAAAAGTACATAACTACGTAATATAATGATGATATATAACGCAGCCTGCACCATTCTCAGCTATGTTGGACACTCTGATGTAGTTTGAGCCTCGGAGTTTTGCATGGCTACTGCATAAAAATAAACATGGACACTGAAACCCATCCTGCCAAAGGGCAGATTCTTTTAACCAGGGCCCTGAGATCTAATTAAGCTCATTCGTTCAGCAAAGATCAAGTGGAGGAAAAGGACCTGTGCTGGTGCAGGGGGACTCCAGGCCACTCCCTCCCCCCACACTGTCTGTGTCGCTCACAGTTGAGGGCCAGGACTTGTGGGAATGATGAACTCGGACACCTGGCAGAACACACACATCAGAAATTAACAATCATTCAATCTCGACGAGGAATGAGGGGGTAAAACGGCTGCTATATACTGCTTCTGGACATTTCTGAAGAGAAACAAAACTGGTCCAGTAATCACTGCAAGTAAACGCCAGGTTTTGAATGGGTTTGCTTTCCTAATTCAAAAAGATTGCTCTCTTTGCTTGTTTCCAGTTGCCCCGCCCCCTCCCACTCACCCCGCCTCTGCTTCTCCTTTGGGGCGGAGCTCCCCTCCGCTGGCCCCGCCTCATCGGTAGCGGACGTGGATTCAGAATGCGAGTCGGTGTTAAAGCTGTCATTGCGAGGCCGGACAGGCAACCTGACAAAACAAAATAACCGAAGACGCTTTATTCCACAGTGCAGTAACCACGTCTTGTAGGCCATGCAAAATCGGCAGCAATTCTGACTTATCACTTAACTTCATTATTCATTCTTTTTTTGGACGAATGATCTGGCACCCTGCAAATGCTCAACTAAGATTCGACAGAGTCAGCTATTTATGCTCAGGACAGCTGACGTGACCAACCCAACTTCTGAAACGCTATCCACACAGATGCAACTGAAATTCAAGCTCAATAAAAACAGAAATCACAGCTTCTGGAAGATCAAACTCGACAGAACTGCCCAAGATAAGAGAACTCCAGAGATAAAACGATAGAGACCTACACTAAACTTTAGACATCGACTGCAAAAGGAAGTGGACAATTCCAGTTTTTGCACGGGATGTGACCACTTTGCAAAGATGGCTACCGACGACGCCATTTATACATATAAATAGCAAATCTGCAAGACACCTAGGAGAGGAAGTCCAATCTGAGTCCTAAAAGCAATAACGGCTCAAATGTGCCAA